TCTGAGCCGGCCCGGCTAAAGTAACTGGATGGCCTACCTGCCTGTCAGCCTTCCATCTGTGCACAAACTTATCTCGTGCCCTCATTGGTCATGTGCGCGTCCGTGTGTGTTGGAGGAGGGGCTCTGTGAGGAAGAGGCAGATTTTTTCCGGTTGTGTATTTTCAAATTCTAGCGCACTCGAGCTGGTTTCTCCAAAATTCCCTACCCCACCTTTAAGTGTTTAAAACACAATTTGTTTGGTGTGGTTTCTTTGCAGCTCCACAAGTTTTCATTCAAAATGGTATTATAACACTCATTGAGCCTTTAATACATATTTTGCCCTTGAGATTTGAACATTGCAGTAACACATATTGTAATTTTGATAACAATGTTGCAGCCCTAGTGTCAATTACTTTGTCAGTTTGGGTGCTACCTGGTGTAGATGTTGTTTTCGGAAATGCCTCCTTGGTCTTAGGTCGATTTAGGATTTTCAAATTGCTAAAGTTTGATACTTTGTGCACCAGATCTCTAACGGTTTTTACTGAAGTTACTATTCCATTTTGTAGAACAATCTATGAAGCTGTGACAGGAAAGATTAGCCCCCATATCCCATGTTTCTGACCGGTGCCCTCCAGTAATTGGGGTCTCTTGAGTTTTCCCCCTGCTTTCCTATATTAAACTGTGAAGTGGAGCTTCAGTAGTAAAAGTGTTGAATTAAAGCTTCTCTTCCCAACTTCTGAAAGTGAAAGAAGTGTCAGGAGGAGCCTTTGTGTTTCCTGAGTGGCAGGAAACATGACATTATCTGCAAAGAAGTTTTATTAAGAAAAAAACTTCTGATGTCTCCCGAGGAAGGACGGCTCCAAGGAAACCAATTCATGTTGTGTCTGCTGCTCCTCTCACACACACACACACACACACACACACACACACACACACACACACACACACACACACACACACACACACACACACAGGATTATATGTGATGTGTGTAAGAGTTTCCTTGTCTCTCTATCTTTGCCCATGTGACTTTAAAGTGTCAGAGGCTACAATTTCACACATCCCAGTAACCCTCCGTCACTTTGACTGTCTCCACTTTTGACGGAGTGCATTATTTGTCTAAAGAAACTATTACCTTCCAGTGTGTTGCACATGACAACAATATTTTTTCAGTATTTTCCACATTGTAACAACCTGATCTGAAGCAGTGGTGTTTT